GTGTGTGGTGTGGTATGTGTTTGTGGTGTGGGGGTGTGGGTGTGGTCTGTGTGTATGTGTGTGATCTGCTGTGGAAGTGCTTTACGTCTGTGTTTTCTGACTCCTGTGGGTACAGTTTCCTTTCTTACCCTCCAGCTGGATTTTCTCTTTGGTCAGTCCCGCCTTCTCTCCGCATGGCTGTCCCGTCACTGCCGTGTGCCGTGGCCCCTGGAGTGGCAGTGTCGCTGCCCCGGGAGCTGGTTGGAAGTACCTGCTCTCCCACCCTGACTCTGCCCAAGGCTGGGGAGGCCTCACCCTGAGCTTTATTCACCCTTTTGTGATTCTGCTGGGAGCTCAAGTTTGAGAGCCACAGGTCTTTTGTTTTTACTTTTCTTTTTTAGTTTTAGGAATTTCTAGTCATCTTTGGGCAGCAAAGATGCTTTGGGCATCTTTGGGCAGTGTGTAAATATTTACTCCTTGTCTGTATCATGTCTTGTTTATAATAAGGGAACATAATGATGTGTATGGCGTCAGTTGAAAAACTTTTTATTATAGAAAACGTCAAGCACACCTGAGGTGGAGGCCACAGGCAACTCTGATATCCAGTTCATCCCCTGCCCTTCCTGTCCTGGATTTTTTTTTTTTTTCTTTCTTTCTTTTATTTTCTTTTTTTTGAGACAGAGTCTCACTCCAGGCTGGAGTCCAGTGGTGTCATTGTAGCTCCCTACAGCCTCTAATCCTGAGCTCAAGCGATCCTCCTGTCTTAGCCTCCTCAGTGGCTGGGACTATGGGCACCTGCCACCATGCCCAGCTAATTTTTCTTTTTTTTTTTGTAGAGACAGGGTCTTGCTGTGTTGTCTAAGCCAGTCTCAAACTTCAGGGTTCAAGCAAATCTCCTGCCTTGGTCTCCCAAAGTGCTGGGATTACAAATGTGAGCCTCCAGGCCTGTATCATTTTGAAGCAGACATCAGTCACCTGTCACATTCATAATCATGTCCTTTGTTATATGTTTTGTTTGTTTGTTTGTTTGTTTATTTGTTTGAGACAGTCTCAAGCTGTCGGCCCTGGGTAGAGTGCTATGGCGTCACAGCTCACAGCAACCTCAAACTCTTGGGCTTAATTGGTTCTCTTGCCTCAGCCTCCTGGGACAACAGGCACCTGCCACAACCCCCGGCTATTTTTGGTTGCAGTTGTCATTGTTTAGCAGGCCCCGGGCCAGGCTCAAACCCACCAAGCTCTGTGTATGTGGCCGGCACCCTACTCAGTGAGTTTGTTTTAGAGGCATAAGACATCCTTCCCCAGCACACCTGGGCTCTCTCTGTAGGGGCCAGGGAAAGGGTTCTGAGTTTATCTCTCAGCTCTGTGGTGTCCCAGGCTTTCTATGGCATTCTCTGCCTTCCCCACTCCCTGTGTCCCTGTTCTGACCCACGCTGTTTTGACGTCTCTGTTGACTCTTGCTTCCCAAGGTGGTGGCTATTAGCAGAGGCTCCTTCCTCTGTTCTCCAGCCCTGTGGTAGCTTCTTGCACCGTTTGTTCTTCTATAAGAACCTTAGATCTGCTCATCAAGCTCATCTAGAATAAACCTGCAGAATTTTGCTTGTTACCACCCCAACATGAGGTCTGCCCTCCAGGGGACACGTGTTGCAGCTGTGCGTGACTGTGAGTCTTGCACGTTTCTATCAGGGTTAGTCTTGGATGGTACAGTTGCTTCTGCTGTTGCCAGTGGGGTCTTTTCCTAGCCCATGTTCTATTTGCTGATGGGCAGGAACGCTCGTTGTTTCTGCATGTTGAACTTGAGTCCAGCCGGCCTTGCTGGACTTCATCCTTCTTGTTTGCAAGCTAGATTTGCAAACATTTTCCAGCTAGATCATCTCCTTGACAAGGTCATCTCTTCCCCTTCGTCTCTGCTTTGTGTTCTTGTCCTCTCTCCAGTTCAGTCTGGTCTGCAGGGCTATGTTCTATTGTGGGTGAGGACTGATCTGCAGTTGTTTTTGTGCGTCTGTCCAGTGGCCACACAGCCTCTTTGGTGACCTGCCACCGTGGCACTTGGCATACAGGGTCTCGGCCTGGCCTCCTACCTGGGCACTGGGCCAGGCTTGTAGGAGGTGGGTAGGCTCATAGGAGGGTCCTAAGTCTTTGAGCCACAGGTGTGATAATCTTGGCAACTGTGTGACCAGGCTGGAGAGACATCCTCATGTGAGCAGGGACCAGGTCAGAGCCACCAGGAGCTCATGGGTTGCTGGGCTGCTGCTGGGACGGGATGTCCCGACAAGCCTGCAGACTACTTCTCAGGCTCACTTGCTTTCTGTTGGACACATTATTGAATGCAATTCCCGGGCCATGCGACTCTCCTGCTTATTGGGTTCAACTCGGGGTTCAGTGCACTCACAGCACCGTGCACCGTGACCATAGTCGTGTTAGAACACTTTCATCACCTCAAAACCAAACCCCACATCACAGCAGACGCTTGGCAGCCCCTCCCCGATCCCTAGCACCCATCTGTGACCCATGTCTGGACACTCCGTAGCCCCTGAGCTCATGGCCAGCCCATGTGTAGCATGCATCCATTTCAAGGCTGAATTTTTTCTGTCCTAGGATGGGCAGCCGTATCTCCCAGCAGGTCAGTTGCCTTTTGGTGCAGCTGTGGCTTCTGTGGGTGGGGTGCCGAGCTGTCTAGCTGCACCTCCTTGTCCACCCTGAGGAACAGGCCTGTGTGGCTCTCTGTGGGTGGGTAGCAGCAGCAGCAGGTGGTCACAGTGTTTAAGGCTCTCAGTCTCCAGAAATCTGTCTTGAGTGTGGCTGATGAAACTGAGGGTCCCAGGGAAACTCACCCCAAACCCCCCAGTCCCCAGGCCTTGTGAGATCAGCACTGAGAGACTGTATTTTAAACTGTGGGCTTAGAGCCAGAGTCCCTGGCTGGTGTCTGGGCATGTCTGTGTCCCTGGGTTGTTCCTGGGGCCAGCTTCCTGGACACCTGACCCTCATTACCCTCTGTCCTCTCTGGGACACAGGCCAGCAGAGGCCACTGACTTCCTGACACTCCTTGAGGACAGCCCCAGTGGGAGAAAGAGGCCACCCTGCCTGAGCAAAGCCCCTGGCGAGAAGGAAGCCACGCGCAGCGTCCTGGTGAGGCTGGACTCGGGCGAGCAGGTGTCTGTCCCCCCGCCACACTCGCCGGGTTTCCTTCTTTGTTCTGTCCTTGCAGAAGGGCGGCGTGGCTGTGGGGGGTATCCCTATTGCTATAGGATCTTTGATCTTTACACTGTGGCCCGTGGCGTACCCCCTATAGGGATAGGTGGGGGCTCCTCCCATCTGGGGTGAGGAAGGGTCTGACGGGGAGTGTGCTCTGTGTCGGGGCACATGGTGGCCAGAGGGCTGAGGTGGTGCCCATTTGACCGGCAGGATGGCCAGCCCAGAGGCTTTACCGTTCCAACTAGTGCCCGGCATTGCAGCGCTGACTCACCAGTGGGCCCACGGAGGAAAGAAGGCACTGTGGCCTTGGCACCCAACTTCACGGCTAACAACAGGTATGGTCCACTGCAGATACCTGACAGCCCTCCTGGGGTGAGGACCTGTCCTCAGGTTGCTCAGGGCCATGCTAAGGTGCCTTGGAATGAATGAATGAACAGCCTTCTTTCTCAAGGGCAAAGCGAGGAGGATGCACTTGTGCTGTGGCCAGGAGGAACTGTCTGGTTAGCTAAGGAAGGACTGGACTCTCTGGGGGCTTTGGCCTGGGGGGCTCATTGCGGTCCTGGTGACTCCTGAAGGCTCACATGGGCTCTTGAGCTTTGGGGCAGCAGGTGTCCCTGGAGGTGAGAGGTGTGTCACCTTGGGCCCTGAACCCACCTGCCACCCATCAAGGGCCAGTCAGTATCAGGGCTGTGTTGGCCACTTCCAGAGCTGTGCTCACTAAGAGTGCAGCAGACCAGAGCTCATTGGGAGTGGTGCCCAGACAGCAGGTCAGCACAGTCCTGGAGTAGTGGGCTCAAGACAGCCACCTCTAAGCCTTTAAGGACAATGTGTCCCCATGCTCGGCCTCCGTGGTCCAGTGAGTGGACTGTCTGGCCACTGGCCTACAGCATCTGGAGCAGCCACCGAAGGAACCGTCTCAGGGAGAGGCTGTGCAGACATCCCATGGGCCATGCTTTTAATGCAAGAATTAAAACAAAACTTTAGCTGTGGTGCCCGTTAGAGCGTGGCGTGCACACGGCTCACAAGCTAAGGTGGAAGCTGGCAAGGTACTGCCCCTTCCTTCCTACTGACCCTGGCGTCCCAGGAGCAGCTACCACAAGCACTTTCTTCTGGTGTTTCCAGAAAACGTTTCCAAGTGCACACTAAAGCTGCTCACATGTGAGCCCCTGCAGCCAGCCGTGGTGGGAGATTGAGGCCGCAGCACCACAGGGGTGCAGATGGAGCCTGCCATGCTCAGTGCCCCAAGCTCCCAGCAGCCTTGTTTCCATCTTGTGCTGTCTGGTTTGGGGCCTTTCCTTAAGTACTTGGTGATACCGGTTGAAAGGGCAGCCCTGGGAGTTGCCTGGCAGCTTCACTCTGGGGAGTTGGGCAGGGACCCACCTGTCAGTGTCCTTAGAACCTTTCTGTAGAGAGGATCCCTCGGGATTCCATTTGGGGTTCAACTTCTGGCTGCCCGCATTGCCCAAGTGGGGGATGGCACGTCTTGGGAGCGTGGCCGACTCTGCTAGCCCACAGCAACCTCTCTCCCCCTGGCTCCATCACAGGAAAACCACCTGCTTCCCTGGGGGCCAAGAGCTGTGTAGATAGCTTTGCTGCGACCTCTCGGCCGCCTTTTTGGCCTTGCTGTTTGCACTGCTCTGTGGGCCTCTGAGACAGGTGGGCATAAGGAAGTGTGTCTTCCACCCAGGGCGCCTGGCTGGGGTGAGGGTTGAGCTGCATCCTGTGCATCAGCTGTGCAAGTTGCTGGCATCTGAGCTGCTCCTCCCCTCACTGCCTGGAGTTCCAACCCCTGTTCACTTGGAATCCCCGGTTGAGCTTCCTGGGTCAGAAGAAGAGCTCACCAGCAGGGCCCTGGCCACAGAGGGACCTGGGGATGCCACACCATGCCCTCCGAGCACACAGCAAGCACAAGGGGCTCTGGCCACACCTACCATCCCCCCCACCCCGAGCACAACTTGAGGTACCCAGTCCCCAAGCCTGATCCTGCTGTCTCTCTTTGGCAGGAGCAATAAAGGAGCCGTGGGCAACTGCGTCACCACCATGGTGCACAACCGCTACAGCCCCTCAGAGAAGGCTCCCCCTGTCAAGAGCTCCAACCAGGCAGCCTCCTCCCTCAAGTAAGACCACCTCAGGGGAGGGCCAGGGTCTGACCTCAGGTAGGGCATGCAGCCTGGGACAGAAAACCACTTGGACTGGCCAGCCTATAGCAGGCAAGCCGGGGTCTGTAGTTCTGGCCCCTCTGTGCTCTGCAGGTCAGGAGCTTCCAGGCAGAGGGAGCAGCCCCAATGAGGGCAGGTGCAGTCTGGGCCACATCCAGAGCACGAAGGCCCCAGGGCAGGGGTTGGCTGAACTCAGAGGGGTCCCCTGCCTGCCGTGGGGGCCTGCTCAGAGGCAAAATGGCCCATGGGGTTTCTTGAGTCACTGGCAAGTCAGGATGGGGACCATGACTTCTGAGAACTTTTTTAAGAGTAATTTTAAGGATTACTTTTTAAATGCAAAGAGCCCATTTGCCTCAGCTTCTGGAGCATTGGCCCTTGTCATTGTGCTGGTGGCTCTGGGACCTGCCAGTGTCCCACTCAGCTGCTGGTGCCTCCTTTAGGCTCTGAGCCTGAGGCAGCTCAGGATGGAGCAGCCTGGTGCCTGGCACAGGACTGACCTCTAGCAGTGAGGGGCTGCTTTTTCTTTCCTATCAGCAATGTTGTCAAGGCAGCCGCCTGTGAGGGCAAGGACAGCAGCAGCTTTGAGAAGCCTCAGAAGAACATCCCCAGCACGAACCTCATGGCCCAGAGCAATGCAGGGGGCACTGCCGGCCTGCTCAGGCGGAGGGAGGTGACTGAAGAGGAGGCCGAGAGGTGACAGCCCTAGGCAGGGCCAGTTTGGGCTCAGAGGGGCCTGAATCTGGTGGGTGGGAGTGGGGAGGGAAGCAAGGGCCTGGGGCTACAACTCATTTCCACTTAGTGGTGGTTTTAAATTATGGAGGTGAAACAGGCCACAGTGTGGTTCCCTTTACGGGAGACATTAGAACGGGCCAGTCTATAGGAACAGAAGACAGAGCAAGGGTTGGTTGCCCAGGACTGGTGTGAGGACGGGACAGCAAGAGTGCTCATTTGAGTGTGATGGATGGTTCCAGAATCAGACCAGGCCTATGGCTACACAAATCTGTAAATTTGTTAAAAATCGAGTTATGCCCTGAGAAATGGGTGCATTTTATAGCATATAAATAACCTCTCAATAAAAGTGTTTATTTAAAAATGAGGAGGGAAAGAAGATATAAAACTAAAAACCCAAATCATGGCTGGGCCTATATCCTTAAAGCTTGTCCTTGGGGAGCTGGAGGGTGGGGCATGGGCGGAGCGTCTGACAGGTGACAGCTGTTCACCCGGGCAAAATCCTCAGGTGAACTGTCCTCCATGGTCTCTGGACCATGGAAGCTGAGCCCCATCTGGGTGATTGGTCACTGGCCCACCTTCTGGGTAGGGCAAGTCAGGAAACCCTGAGGCCAGCTCCGGGAAGGCCCCCAGGGAGTACACCCTCCCAGCTCAGACCCTCACAGCAGGCACTGCCCATATCTTGGGCGGTCTTAGCACCTTTGCCGGATGAATCTACACATAGTCCCACTGTCAGATATTTATAGACATCCCTGCAGCCCCAAGATTCCCTTGAGCTCCTTTTATTCAGCTCCTCCTTGATGCTGGCAACCCCGCTATGCCCATCTGAACACCCCTGCGGTGTTCTGTGCTGCTGGGTCCTGGCCAGTCGCCTTGTTTATGGGTGCTCCGCAGTCCTCACGTGCAGCCAGCTGATGAGCATCTAAATTTTTTCTACTTTGAGACAATTATGCCACAAGTTGGCATAGATAAACAATTCTCTCCTGTGGGTAACTTCCTAGAGGAAGGCTTTTGGGTGTTAATGGTGCCAGTCCAGATGGGCTGGTCCCATCTGGTCACAGGCACGTGAAGATTGCTAAGTGTGTCCAGCTACCAGGTCCCCTCTGTGCCCCCACGGGACCCAGCACCTGACGTCCACAGGCTTGTGGGGGGTGCTGGCCTCACCCTGAGCTTCATTCTCCGGGCAGGTTTATCCACCAGGTGAACCAGGCTGCTGTCACCATCCAGCGTTGGTACCGCCGCCAGGTGCAGCACCGCCGAGCTGGAGCTGCCAGCCTAGAGTACCTGCTCAGGTCCAGGAGAGAGGTCAGTGTGGATGTGGAAGCCATACCAGGTGTTCTCAGGTGCTGCCCAGGACCCAGGGCCCCAACTGTGTGCAGGTAGAGTTTCTGGTCCAAGTGGAATTGCATCCTACTGGACCTTGGGTCCACTCAGTGGGCAGGGCAGTCCTCATGTGACTTCATGGGTCCCTGGGTGTCAGGAAATGCCTGCCGGACCCATCCTGGCTAAAGGGTCACAGGAAAACACTCTGAGCGGGTTCCTTAATGTGGGGCCAAGCTTCCCGTCTCAGGAGTGGGGGGCCTTGTTCTCTGCTCCCAGTGGAGTCTCACCTCCCTCCAGCCCAGATGGACTCTAGGGGGCTCCTGGCATGAGGTGAACACCTGGACGTGGGGACTCTGTCTTTTGGATTTGTAATCCTCTGTGGCTGGGTTCCTTGTCAGGAGCAGCAGCAGCGGTTGGGCAGGGAGAGCCTCCTGGACCTGCAGCAGCAGAAAGAGGCAGCGAGGAGGAAGGCCCGGGAGGAGAAGGCACGCCAGGCCAGACGAGCAGCCATTCAGGTGCCCAGGAAGTCCTGTCAGGGATGATAGCAGCACGTTGGGTCTGATCTGCGGTAGCTCTGCTTCTCGGGGCTCCTAGGCCCATGGACATTGAGCCTCAGAGCAGATTGGCGGGGGGAGCATGAAAGGGCCGTCCCTTCCCTCAACTACCGCTCAGAGATGCCCCCATGGCAGGAGCTGCAGCAGAAGCGAGCTCAGAAGTCAGGCACTGCAGGGCTCAGGCCGCCTGGGGAGACCTGTGCTCTGGGGATGCCACAGCCTGTCCTGGAACCGCTGCTGACGCCAGGTCACACCCTCCAGCAGGCCCTCAAGGCCAACAATGCCAGTGAGTGTGGCTCTCTGTCCACCTTCCCTGGGGGCCTGGCCTGCCCCTGCCTGCCCCGTGTACACTGACCACTGACCTCAGGTTGAGCTGTGGCCAGGAAGGAGGTTTGGCCTCTGGGGGCATTCCTTCCACACTCCTGTCCCATGCTGTTGCCTGACTAGTGGCTTCCTGCTGGGGAGGTAAGGGGTCTCTCTTTGCAACAGACCCAGGGCCCACTTCTCTACCTGTTTTACCTGTGAGGGCGCTGAGACCTTGATAAATAGTCCCAGACGTGGCCACACCACAGAGCAAGCCCTGAGGTCTGGGGTGGTGCCCACTCCCCTCAACTTCACACCCGGGGAGGCTGGGGCTGCCCAACCTCTCCCTGATGCTGCAAGGTCCTCGCAGTTTCTTCCCAAGGACACCTCCAGATTCACTGCCTGGGGGGACACTGCTGTGTTCTGTCTGCAGGTACCGGCTTCCACACTGAGGTTCCCAAGGAGCCCCCTGCACCCGCCTCCAACTCCCCCCAGGAGACCCAACAGTCTCGGGAGGACAAACTGCAGGTCTGGGCACACCCACCCTCCCCTCCCTTCCAGATTTCTATTTTAAATTATGGAGGAGAAACAGGCCACAGTGTGGTTCCAAGGATCTCTGTTTTGAGGACCACGTCTGTGCCAGGGTAGCCTAAGCCTACCTTTTCTCTATTCCTTCCCCAGTTGTATGGGTCACTCATGCCCTGAAAGGCCACCCAGTGGGAGTCGTTTGCTCTGCTACAAAGTGTATAAACCCCTTAGGTTTACATAGATGCTAGGGCTGGGTGGCTCTGTCCTCGCACAGAAGGAGGGGGGCTGATAGCAGGGCTCCATTGGCACCAGGCAGCTGGGAGGAGTCAGTGGCTGGAGCTGCTCAGGGTTTGATGGCCCAAAGCGTGGCAGGAAGAGTCTGGAGGAGGCCCTGCAGCTGACGACCAGCACCAGCTTCTCTCCCTGCCCCTTTGCTGTAGGACACTCACTCCCAGGATGTAGCCAGGGAGGACTTAGCGCCGGTGGCCCCTAGCAGGGCCAAGCCTTGGCCACCGCTAGACGAGCTGCTGCACACACTGCATCTGCTAGAGGAGGAGCCTGAGCCGCTGTCCCAACCTGGGGTCCCCTACAAGGGCAGATATGCCTGGACCAGCAAGGTGACCACAGCCACATGCCCTCCCCAGCCCAGTCTGGCCGCCGGTGCTATCCATACAGGGCATGGAGTCACTTTGGGGGCCAGAGGGTAGGAGGATAATGGGTGCCACCTGGCTTCTCACTTCAGTAGGGACCCTGATAAGGGCCAGTGGAGTCCACTGTCCCTTCCCATCTGAGGCAGGACACTTAGAATGACTGGAGGGAGGACTACACACTGGGTGGTGGGCACCTCCTCCCTGCATCAGGGTACCCAAATGATGCCCCAAGAGTTTCTGGGCAGCCTGGGGGCCCTTTCAGAGCCAGGTTATCCCTGCCCTTCCCTCCCTGGCAAAGCAGGCCCCACCTCGGGGACCCCAATGCCAGACCCTGTCCCACAGGAGGACGATGCCAGCTTTCTGACAACTGACAACCTGGAGAAATTCAGGAAACTCAGTGCAGCCCCTGGCCCCCCTGAGGATGAGACACTGCTCTCAGAGGCCAAGCTGCAGACCATCATGAACTTCCTGGATGAGATGGAGATGTCTGCACAGGGCCAGCCAACTCTGCCACAGGAGGTGGCCATTATCCTCCACCCCCAGCTCCCCCAGTGGGAGGGGTTTGCTTACTTCACCCTCTGTGGGAGGAGGGTCACTCATATCCTCTCTGGAGGGTGGGGTGGGCAGGCCCTGCTTACCCACACTGGGCCCTTCAGGTGGGCACTAGAGTCTCATATGTGAGCTGTGTGCACATAGGCGGTCCTGGCATCCTGTGCCCTGGTGTCCCAGGCCGTCACCTGACCTGCCCTGGGAGAGCACCAGTGTCTGGAGTGAGAGGAGGGGTGATGTGAAATTCACTGTGGTGGGGGCAGGAGACCAAAAGTGAATATGGCTTTATACTGGTCTTTGATAACTTTTCTGATCACTGAGGCCACTGCCCCTGCCACCTGTGCTGAGCAATCCAGGATCAGACCCCCACCTCACATCTGGGCTCCCCTGTGCACTGACCCTCCCCCTGAGCAGGGGCAGGGCAACAGGTGTCGTACCACCTCCGGGGCTACCTCCTGGGCCTCTGATGCTGGGCCACCTCCTGGGCCTCTGATGCTGGGCCTTGTCCACAGGGGCTGCTGCCAGAGGCAGCTTCCGAGGTGAGCGCATCCGCAATGCGGCTGAAGCTGGAGGTGGAAGAGAAGAGGCAGGCGGTGGTGCTGCTGCAGAGAGCCCTGGTAACTGACACAGGAATCCCCACAGCCCCCGCTGGGGTGAGGGCCCCACCAGCACCCTGGTCCTCATGAACTGGCCTGCCAGCGCTCTCCCACCCACACCTGCAGGTGCAACAGCGGGACCTCACTACCCGGCGAGTCAAGGAGATGGAGAAGGAGCTGAACCTGCAGCTGCAGCGGCAGAAGGCACACTATGAAGCCACCATCCAGCGGCACCTGGCCTTCATCGACCAGGTGACCTGCCCCTGGAGGGTCAGGGTGGGGCTCAAGGCACAGCATTGGTCTCAGAGAGACTTCTAGAGCCAGGGGCTCCCAGTTGCCGGGTGAGGCACTGGCTGCAGGACAGTGCCAGTCTGGGTGCTTGGGTAGTGCTGCTGTCTGCATCCCTCCCTATGATAGGCCAAGGATGGCAGGTAGAGCCAAAGCACAGTGGGCAGAGCACACCCTGCTGTGGTCACTAGAGGAGCCTCTTGGCCCCATGGGAGGTGAACAGCTAGACTGGCACTACCTCCACCCCCTTGTGCTGTTTGGGGGCCACTGTGCCTTGGGGAGACCATAGCTGATCTATAGGGATAAGTGAGGGCAGTGAGAACATTCAGCCTGCCCCTGGCTCAGCTGCCCTCTGGCTAGGCCCCATCCTGGAGGGATGAGCTCTGGGGCCTCCAGGGCTGCTTGGTAGTCATCATAGGTGTGTCCAAACCTGAGGCCCTCGCTGAACTGCTATGATCCTGACACCCTTGGAGAGCCCCTGGGCTGGGTGATGGGGAGCAGAGGTGCAGCCCCCATCTCTGAAAGACCGTGACGTCTTCACTGCTGGGTGCTGAGGCCTAACCCCACTGAGCTGCTATGACTTTGATGAGTCCTCTGGGTTGAGAACTGGGTGGTGGCTGCAGCCCCGTGTCCACATTTGCACACACACCCCTGGGTCCATCTGCAAACCTAAGAGGGGTGGCCTCGGGGGAGGGGGTGTCCTTAGCGCAGCAGCCTCCCCTTATGGCTCCTGTCACAGCTGATTGAAGAGAAGAAGGTCCTGAGTGATAAGTGTGAGGCTGTGGTGGCCGAGCTGAAGCAGGAGGACCAGAGGTGCAGGGAGCGTGTGGCACGGGCACAGGAACAGCACGAGCTGGTGAGCCCCCCACCCACTGGCTCCCAGACCTGGTAGGCTCATGGCAGGGTGGGACTCAGTGCCAAGATGGTGGGAACAGGGTAGGCAGCAGGGTCCCGGCTCACTGTAGCACTGAGCCCCTCCCTCTCCAGCTGCCCAGGGGACTAGGCCTTGGGGTGAGGCTGGGGACAGGCACTTGTGTGGGCCCATCATCCCATGTCCACAGATGTCCACACAGGATGCTACAGTACTGTGAACATAAATTTAGTAACCCATCTGCCCCAGCTCCTGTCCCTAGGTGACAGGACTCACTATCTCCTCAGCTTGTGTGCCCTGAGCAATGACTCCCACATTCCTGCTTTGCTGGCTGGTGCTGATTAAAAGGCCCATTTCACGGGCCTCCGCCTGCCTGGCTTTGCCTTCTCCCAGCATGGGCGGTGACAGTCCCTAAGCCCCGACTCTGGGTATGGGAGTGTCCCCCATGACCATAGCTGACGGCCAAGTTTGAGGACCACTGATCAGGGTGAGCTCTGGAGCCATGCCTGCAGGCCAGCAGCACCCCTTTCTGGGACAGGTCCTTGGCAGGTCCCACTGACCCCCATTTCTCTAGCCTGGCCCCAGCCCTGGGCAGGATGAAAGGGATACCCAGGGGGCAGCACCTGCCCACTCGTCTCGAGAACACCCTTTGCCATCCTGTTAGGGGAGCTGGACACTCAGCATCTGCCAAGACCCACGAGGTGGCCAAAGTGTGTGTGGGGTGGTGTCCTTTCTGTCTTCCCAGCCTCCTGGTTCTCTTGCTTGTAGGAGATGAGGAAGCTCAAAGAGCTCATGAGTGCCACCGAGAAAGTCCGCCGGGAGAAGTGGATCAGTGAGAAGACCAAGAGGATCAAGGAAATCACTGTTAAGGGTGGGTGTGGGGGCAGGGGCAGGAGGGCGTGGGGGCCAGGGATGAGCGTCTGGGGCTGGGCAGGAGGGCATGGGGGTTAGGGGTGAGCCTTTGGGGCTGGTTGAGGGGACCTATAGCAGGATAGGATGTCCATAGAACATGGTTTCACACATGTAGCACAAGACCTTCCTGGGAAGGAGTAAACCCTCTGTGTCCCTGTCACAGCCCCTCCAGGCTGGCTCCACACATAGGCCCGGCTCAGCACCCAGCACTGGTACCCAATGGCCTGAGTTTAGAGGGGTCAGGAGGAGAGGCCTCACTAAGGGAAGTGGAGAAGCAGCCACCGAGGCGGGGCCCGCTGGGATTATGGGGATCCTTGGCCAGCAGCAGCATCTGCCTGTCCCCCAGAGAGTCCCCGGGTGGGCAAGGTGCCCTCGTGGCCCAAGACGGGCCAGTGTCTTGCTCTGGCCAGGCTTCTTGTGGCTGTAGCTGGCGCCCTTGTCCCCAGGCCTGGAGCCTGAGATCCAGAAGCTGATCTCCAAGCACAAGCAGGAGCTGCGCAAGCTCAAGGGCCTGCACGAGGCCGAGCTGCTGCAGGTGGACGAACGTGCGTCGCAGCGCTACCTACGCCAGGCCGCGGAGCTTCGGGAGCAGCTAGAACAAGAGAAGGAGGCACTGGGCCAGCAGGAGCGTGAGCGGGCCCGGCAGCGGTGGGTGGCGGCCTCCAGGCAGGGCCTATGGAGACCCTCAGTGTGAATCTGGGGTATTCTTAAAGTCTGGAGCCGGGGAGGGGGCAGACCCCGGGCTCCTGCTTAGTGGGCTGTGTCCTTGTGAGCTTCTTGGGGCTGGGGTTTGTACCTCTCACCAGGTACCCACTTCCAAGGCTGGCCCAGCAGCAGTTAGCCTGCAGACAGGTGGCCTCAAGGTTCTTCCAGCTCTGACCTTGGGGCCCCTGGACACTCTGATTTGTTCCCTTGGCCCTGGGTCTTGGATGTGACCACCCTAGGATCTGGTGGCCAAGCACGTGTCCATAGGTCAGTGTCTGCAGGCACTGATTCAGGGTGGGGCTGCCCCCTCCTTGCCCTATTTCCTGGGAGTGGCCAGTTTCCCCAGACACACCTTGGCCAGACCCTCAGCCACTTTCCCCAGGTAGGAAAAGGATACAGACTCTGAGCACATGGTGCCTTCATGCCTGAAGTCAGAGGTGGCAGAATGATGTCTCACAGGGCGTCTGCCTTCCTGCCATCCTAGCCTGCCGGGCAGTGCTGACCAGGATGAGGACAGTACAGGGCAGGGGGGCTGTGGAGATAGGACAAGTTGAGCTGAGGCTATTTCACAAGACACTGCAAGGGCCTGCAGCTTAAGGACTACTGAGGGGGCCAATGACTGGGCTTGATGGGCACTGAGAGCCGAGGGCTACCTGGTGCTGCCGTGTGAGCAGATCCTCACCCTGCAGGTTTGAGCAGCACCTGGAGCAGGAGCAGTGGGCCCTACAGCAGCAGCGGCAGCGACTGTACAGCGAGGTGGCTGCCGAGAGAGAGCGGCTGGACCAGCAGGCCACCAGGTGCTGCCAGGACGCCAGGCCACCCACTGACCTCTCCTACACCTGACGCTTCACCTCCTAATCTCTTCTTCCTCTGATCTCTCACCCCTCACTCCAACATCTGCCCTGATCCCTCACCCCCGACATCTCCTGCTCCTGACCCCACCCCCCAATATATGCCCCTGACCCCTCACCCTTGACATCGCCTGCTCCTGACCCTTCAACCCCCAACATCTCCTGCCCTTGACCCCTCACTTCCCAACAACTCCTGCCCCTGACCCTTGCCTCTGACCTCCTTTGTGGGCCTCCAGGCAGCGGGCAGAGCTGGAGGAGCTGCGGCAACAGCTGCAGGACAGCAGCTCAGCACTGACCCGAGCCCTACAGGCCGAATTTGAGAAGGGCCAAGAGGAGCAGGAACGCAGGCACCAGGTCCATATCCCACGAGCCTGGGTGGCAGGTGGGGCGACAAGGCGCTGACTGCTGCTCTCACGCTGCCCGCAGGTGGAGTTGAAGGCTCTGAAGGACCAGCTGGAGCTGGAGCGGCAGGCATGGGAGGCTGGCTGTGCCCGGAAGGAGGTGGGGCCCGGCCCAGGCTGTGGGTGGAGGGGCCACAGACACCCCCCAGGCCCAGGAGGAGGAGCCACGTATGGGCTTGTGAGACAGAGGCCTTGGCGGGAACCTCCAAACTTCCAAGAGCTACCTGTGCTCCTCTGACTGTCAGGCAGGGGGGCCCCCGGGTCTGAGGGAGAGGAGCATTGGCTGTGCAAATGGTCTTCAGGTAGGAGTGCCTTGTCCAGTGCTACCTCCTGTGCCTACACAGGGTCCTCAGGATGTAATCCCCCAGACTGGTGGCATGGGACAGGGCAAGGATACTCTTCTCCAAGGCCCAGAGCCAGGGAACCCCCAGGAGCTGCTGCCCTGCCCCACCCTTGGCTTCCCTCCTTCCACCTTCCTCTTAGCAGCCCAACTTGGTAACAGTCCCTGAGCCAGCTTATGTTCCTCCAGGAGGCATGGCTGCTGAACCGAGAACAGGAGCTGAAGGAAGAAATCCGGAAAGGCCGGGATAAGGAGATTGAGCTGGTCATTCACCGGCTGGAGGCTGACATGGCACTGGCCAAGGAAGAGAATGAGCGGGCAGCTGAGAGCCGGTGAGGCTCCTGAGAGCAGGGCACCTTCGAGTGCTGGACAGGGAGGGCCGGGACCGGGCACAGGACCACATGCATGTCTAGGCCACCCTGTGACCCTGCCCCTCCCGCCCCAGCATCAGGCGCATCCGGGACAAGTACGAGGCAGAGCTCTCGGAGCTAGAGCAGTCAGAGCGGAAGCTTCAGGAACGGTGCACAGAGCTGAAGGGCCAGCTCGGGGAGGCGGAGGGGGAGAACGTGCGTCTGCAGGGCCTGGTACGGCAGAAGGAGCGGGCACTGGAGGACGCGCAGGCAGTGAGCAGGCGACAAGCGGGCAGCAGTGGGCAGCCCCCCCCCCCCATACCTGCTGAGCCCCTGCCCTGCTGGCTTGCTTATACCTCCTGCCCATAGGTGAATAAGCAGCTGTCTACTGAGCGGAGCAGCCTGGCTCAGGTGATCCGCCAGGAGTTTGCCGACCGCCTGGCAGCCTCAGAGGAGGAGACAAGACAGGTCAAGGCAGAGCTGACCCAGCTGCAGGCCCGCCAGCAGCTGGAGCTGGAGGATGTGCACCAGAGGTGTGTGGCCAGCTGCATGGGCCTGCAGGACATGGCCAGGGAAGGCCGGGCGAGTAGAGACGCCCTTACTCCTTCTGGGTGTGGATAGGCAGGCGTGGATCCACACTGGCAGCCCTGGACACCTGGGCTGTTCCCCTCCAAGTGGCAGCTGGTCGTGGGTGTCAGGCGTCCCAGCAGGCCTGGCTGTGCCCTCTCCCCAGGAATGCCCCGTGTATCGGGTCAGCCCATGTGGGTTCTCTGGGGGCATGGCTCCCAGGGTCACTGTGGCCTGGGTAGATGGGTGCCATGCAGAAAGGGTTGAGGTGCTATGAGGACGCCAGCCCTTCTGTGTAGCCTGCTCACCGTGGGCTCTGAGATGTGGACATGGCTGGGGGCTTCCTGTGCTGTCTGGGTGCCTCCCCTGGGGTGTGCGGGCTCATCGCTCCAGTGGTCCACTTGGGGTTCCGTGGGGAGCATCTGGGACCAGCCATGGGGCCCATGGTCTGAAAGCACGGGCTGGTTTGGCACTGAGGAACAGCGGCTTGTGGAAGCCCCTGTGTGCTACCTGCAGGGTGAAGGTGGCCCTGGCGAAGAAGGAGGAAGCTGTGAGCAGCCTTCGGAGACAGCACGAGGCTGCGGTGAGGCAGGTCCAGCACCTGGAGGAACTGCTTGAGCGGCACCAGCGGCCACTGCTGACCAAGTGACCCCATCAGGGGTGGGCGACAGACGATGGAGGCCGGATGCTGGGCCCAGAGCCTGGTGCAGGCTGAGGGTGGAAGCTGCGAGACGGGGTGGAGTGGACCTGCGCCTGCCCAGGTGCTCAGCACACTTATCCTGGTGCCTGTGCCTGTGTTTCAACAGTAAAAGAGATCTTTTAGTGCTTTGTGTGACCTCGAGTAGCCAGTAGTCCCACGGAGTGGCCAAGTGTGTCTCCCTCTCTCCCTCCCTCTCTCCACCCTATCTAGGAGCGGAAAGTCACAAGGCCGTGCAGCAGGTCCCCATGCTCAGCACAACTCACTGCACATGCTCTGTGCCTTACTCTGCAGCCCTAGCACAGAGAGTGGCCCTTTGTTCTAGCTTGGTGTGGAGGAGCTCTGAAGGCCCCACTCCACCCCTGTAGGTGCTTAGAGCCCATAGGCTGCTTGTGCCCCCCAAGGCTAGAGTCCGGGGAGACTCCAAGGAATAGACGTTCCTTTAACTATCAAGGTGTGAGTCTGGAGCCCTCCAGAAAGGGGGACAGACGATGCTCCTTAGCACAGGTTGCAGCTGCCACATGCTCTGCGTGGGTTGTGGGAAGCTCTTTGGAAGCTGTGCATTGTCCAGGCTGAGCCCAGCGCAGCCTGAGGCCCAGGTCATTGTCGGGCACCTTGACTCAAAGTGATTGCTGGGCATGCCCTGGTTAGTGGACATAGCCCTGCCTGTGCTGAGACAGACACATACCAGGGATGGACAGCCCAGTGTGGATGGCCTCAAGGCTGTGTCCAGAGCTCCCGAGGGTCGCCATCAGCCAGGCTGGTCTCACAGAAGCCACTGGCAGAGCCAAGAATGATGGCAGCAGCCCTTAAGGCGAGCTTCCCTTCACCAGGCCTGAGCTAAGGCCTTAGCACAGCTGTACAGTGGGTAGTCCCTCCCCACCTGTCCACGGTGGACAGGATACAGGCTGCAGGGAGGACTGTTGGTGGGTGACCTGTGCAGCTGGGCTTCTGCAGAGTGGAGGTTCTAACCTGGAGCTTCACCCAAACTTGAGCTCAACTGACCAGTAGCTCTGGAGACCCCACACTGTCCTTGGAGTCTGTGCTCAGGACACAAGTGGCCACACCCACTTGAGAGGCTTTACCATAACCCAGGGCCAGAGGGCCAGTGGCAGGTACCCAGTAGTCCCCTGAGCCCTCCAGGCAGTCCCGGCAGCATGGGGTTCTGTCTCAAGCACTGAGCATCGGTGGGCATGATTCCTGGTCATGGTCTTGCAGTCCTACACTATGAGGCCAGAGAAGGCTAAGGGGGTTGCTCTCATGGGCCTTCAGGCAGCTAGGCAGGAGCCACGTCCTGTGAGCCCCGGTCCTGCCAAATCCCCATCCCCAGTTCACCAGCCTGTCCGGGCCTTTGTTTCCTCACCTGCCCAGCGAGGCTTGGGCAGGAGCTTTGGGGTTTCTTACTTTTCCTTCGTGGCAGAGCAGGGTCTCCCAGGACCTGAGGCCAGAGCCCCATGGGGAGTGGGACTGCAGGGCCACACTGGTCTCCCATGAGCCCCACAGATGGGCTGGATGCTTCTGCTTCCTCCACTGCCCTGGGCTGGGCACGGGCTGCCTTCCACAAGCCTTACAGAGGCGCAACAGGAGCACGGGCGCTTGCAGGGCAGCAGCTTCCCCAGGGCTCATAGCTCCTCCGAGGCCTGACCCCTCTGGCGGGAGAGCCCTGGCTGGATGCTAGTGGAGAGGACGTGCCCTCTCAGGCCTCGCCCCCACTGCCTGAATCATTACCAGCGAGATGGTGGGTGGGGGCAGCTTGGCAACCAGGCAGCCAGGCAGTCCTGACCAGGGCTTGAAGGAGGAAGGGGCTCTCTCAGTGCTCCCGTGCTCCCAGCCCTATCTACCTCCCCCTCAGCCAGCTTTGCCTAGAGGCCCTGCCCCACTGGCCTGAAGCCAACCCTCTTCCACCAGCTCTTATACCAGCCAGTCCATGTCCCAGGGGAGAGGGAAGGTGCTGGACACCAGGAGTGAGGGCTGGAGTGGGCTCTGAGGGGCTAGAGGTCTCAGGCCCTTGGGCCTGGCCTGCTTCCTCCACCAGCAACACAGGAAGCTCGGGCAGGAGTTGGTCCTGGGGTAGGGGAGCAGGCTGGGTGGGAGGACAGGAGTTGGTCCTAGGGTGGGGGAGGCAGGAGTTGGTCCTGGGGTCGGGGAGCAGGCTGGAGGAGGAAGAGTTGCTTCTGGGGTGGGGCAGTTGCTCCTGGGGTAGGGGGCCAGGAGTTGCTCCTGGGGTGGGGGGCAGGCTGGGAGGGGGCAAGTTTTCTGGTCTGGCATGTCTGGATGGTCTAGCCAAAAACTGTATTTTTATCTGAATTGTTGCTAGGAGAAGCAGCTTTTAATTACTAAACTAAGACATTTTTGGCTCAGTGCCTATAGCTCAAAACAGCTAAGGCACCAGCCATATACACCAGAGCTGGCGGGTTCAAATCCAGCCTGGGCCTGCCAAACAACAGTGACAACTACAACCAAAGAATAGCTGGGTGTTGTGGCGGCCACCTGTAGTCCCAGCTACTTGGGAGGCTGAGGCAAGAGAATTGCTTAAGCCCAGGAGTTGGAGGTTGCTGTGAGTTGTG